GTGGGGCCCGATCTTCCAGTGCACTTTCCACAGGAAGCCCAAAACACAAACTTCAAGATGAAATCTGATCTGAAAGAGTTGGCAGCTAATTCAACAGAGTTTTAGAACACTCTGAGGGCCAAACAAAATGTGGGCCAGCAGCACTGGGATGTTCTAAGGACTTAGTTTGCAACCTCTGGTCTATACCACTAATGCCTAGAGTTCCCGGTGAACTCCTACACATTCTTCAAGACTCCATGCATAGAGACCACATCTGATTAACATCTTTCCTGATCCTCTCCAGTTAGATTTGGTGTCTGTGCACCTTTTTTTTTTTTCTTTTTTTTTTTCTTTTTTTTGAGACAGAGTCTAACTCTGTCGCCCAGGCTGGAGTGCAATGGCACCATGTCAGCTCACTGCAACCTCCGTCTCCTGGGTTCAAGCAATTCTCCTGACTCAGCCTCCCGAGTAGCTGGGATTACAGGTGCCCGCCACCACGCCTGACTAATTTTTGTATTTTTTAGTAGAAACGGGGTTTCACCATGTTGGGCAGACTGGTCTCGATCTCCTGACTTTGTGATTCACCCACCTCAGCTTCCCAAAGTGCTGGGATTACAGGCGTGAGCCACCACGCCTGGTGGTGCACCTCTTTTATTAGGCCACTTTGTAAGTTTGTTTCTTTCTTTCTTTCTTCTTTTTTTTTTCTTGAGACAGTTTTGCTCTTGTCGCCCAGGCTGGAGTGCAATGGCATGACCTTGGCTCACTGCAACCTCCACCTCCTGGGTTCAAGCAATTCTGCTGCCTCAGCCTCCCAAGTAGCTGGCATTACAGATGCCCACCAGCACGCCTGGCTCTTTTTTTTTTTTTTTGAGACAAAGTCTCACTCTGTCGCCCACGCTGGAGTGCAGTGGCGCGATCTTGGCTCACTGCAACTTCAGCCTCCCAGGTTCAAGTGATTCTCCTGCCTCAACCTCCAGAGTAGCTGGGACTACAGGCTTGCACCACCACGCCCGGCTAATTTCTGTATTTATTTAGTAAAGACGGGATTTCACCATATTGGCCAGGCTGGTCTTGAACTCCTGACCTCGTGATCTGCCTGCCTCGGCCTCCCAAAGTGCTGAGATTACAGGCTTGAGTCACCGCGCCCGGCTGCCCAGCTAATTTTTGTATTTTCAGTTGGGACAGTGTTTTACCATGTTGTCCAGGCCGGTCTCGAACTCCTGACTTCAGGTGATCCGCCCGCCTCAGCCTCCCAAAGTACTGGGATTGCAGGTGTTGAGCCACCGCACCTGGCCATAAGTTTCTATTTATGTGTTTCTTCAGTTCAGCCCCATCTGTCTGACTGTGTTCCCAGGGCTGAGCTTTGTGGCTGGCAAGGCACAAAGTTAGCGCTCAGTAAGTGTTGGCTAACTAGATGTCCAGGGTTGCTCTTTGGTAAAGCTGGGCCGGGGAAAGAGGAGAACTGGTGCGGTTGAATGCCGGCCGCGTATCCGTCGCCTGCTCTATGTGGTCTTGGGTGGAGACATGGAGTGTATGGCTGCTGGGTGGTTCCAGAGCATCCCTGGAGGCGCTGCAGAGGAGATCAGACGTTGAAGATGTCCTCTGAGGACACAGCCCGCCTAAATTGTGGTATCAGCAGACGCCTAGAATACTTTCTTTGGAAATTAAATCCTCCAACATTTCCTCCCCTTGTTCTTGGGTGGGAAGAGGCCCCTCAGCTGCCCACAGCTTGCGATGGCGGCGCGGGCCAGATTTCAGCTTCCCGCTGCATGGAGGCCCCTCTTCTGCTGCCCTGTGCTGACTCCGACCCCAAGGCTGGGCAGCGTCAGCCTGCTCCCCCAACCTGGGCCTGCTGCGTGGCTCTGCTGTCACCTGAAGTGCCCCAGCAGTGGGTGGTGTCTCCTTTCACGCGTCCTTTCCCAGAACAGCCGGTTCCAGCCTCCCCCAGGGTGTGAAGCTTCTCGGCTCTGCCTTCTGGAATCCCTCAGCCTCCTGTCCAGGGCACATCCAGGCTGGAGTTAGTCCCCTTCTCCCTGTGCTGCTATGGGTTTTTTTGTTTGTTTTGTTTTGTTTTTTTGAGACAGGGTCTCACTTCGTTGGAGACACTGCCTTAAGTGCAGTGGCACAATCTCGGCTCACTGCAGCCTCCACTTCCTGGGCTCAGGCGATCCTCATGCCTCAGCCTCCTATGTAACTGGGACTACAGGGGCAAGCCACCATGCCCAGCTAATTTTCTTTCTTTTCTTTTTTGTAGACATGAGGTCTTGCTATGTTGCCCAGGCTGGTCTGAAACTCCTGGGCTCTAGTGATCCTCCTGCCTCAGCCTCCCAAAGTGCTAGAATTAACAAGTGTGAGCCATGGTGCTAGGCCTATGGAGTTTTTCTTGAGGTGGAGAGGGACGTCTATTTCCCTCTCCCTTTCCCCGTTCTGGAGCTTTTTCACTGCTGTCCTGACCTCTGTCCACTCCTGGTTGGTCACGGGACATTGGTGGCTCAGGAGTGTTGGGGACGCTCCATTACCTTGAGAGTGTGGGCCACCTGTAGATTGACTGGCTGACTTGCAAAAGCTTCCTTGTGATTAAAAAAAAAAAAAAAAGGAAAATAACTGTTGGCAAGAAGGTAGAGAAATTGGAACCCTTGTGCATTGCTGTAAAATAGAGCAGCTGCTGTGGGAAACGGTTTGACAGTTCCTCAGCCAGTTACACACAGACCTAGCCTATGCCCCATCAGTCCCACTCCCAGGTAAACACCCAGAAGAACTCAAAAGAGGTGTCCACACTGATAAAGTTCTGAGCATTAGCCAAAGAGTGGAAACCGCCCAGATGTCCATCAGCTGCAGAACGGATAAACACACTGTGGCACGTCTGTACAGTGGAATGTGGTTCAGCCATCAAAAGGAGTGAAGTGAGCCGGGCGCGGTGGCTCACACCTGTAATCCCAGCACTTTGGGAAGCCGAGGCGGGCGGATCACGAGGTCAGGAGATGGAGACCATTCTGGCTAACACGGTGAAACCCCGTCTCTACTAAAAATACAAAAAATTAGCTGGGCGAGGTGGCGGGCGCCTGTAGTCCCAGCTACTCGGGAGGCTGAGGCAGGAGAATGGCGTGAACCTGGGAGGCGGATCTTGCAGTGAGCCAAGATCGTGCCACTGTACTCCATCCAGCCTGTGGAACAGAGCGAGACTCTGTCTCAAAAAAAAAAAAAAAGGAGTGAAGTGAGCCAGCGCAGTGGCTCACCCCTGTAATCCCAGCACTTTGGGAGGCTGAGGCGGGTGGATCCCCTGAGGTTGGGAGTTCAAGACTAGCCTGACCAACATGGTGAAACCCTGTCTCTACAAAAATACAAAAATTAGCCCAGGCATGGTGGCAGGTGCTTGTAATCCCAGCTACTCAGGAGGCTGAGGCGGAAGAATCGCTTGAACCTAGGAGGCACAGGTTGGAGTGAGCTGAGATCGTGCCATTGCACTCCAGACTGGGTGACAGAGTGAGATGCCATCTCACAGAAAAAAAAAAAAAAGAGTGAAGTGCTGGTGTGTGCTGCAACATGAATGAACCTTGGAAACACCACGCTAAGTGAAAGGAACCAGGCACAAAAGGCCACTTAGTGTATGATTCTGTTTCTGGGAAATGTCCACGGTAGGCAGTCCATAGAAAGTACACTGGCATTTGCCAGGGGCTCAGGATAGGGACGTAGAGAGTGACTGCCTCATAAGTACAGGTTTTCAGCGGGGTGCGGTGGCTCATGCATGTAATCCCAGCACTTTGGGAGGCCAAGGCGGGTGGATCACTTAAGGTCAGGAGTTCAAGACTAGTCTGGCTAACATGGTGAAACCCTGTCTCTACTAAAAATACAAAAATTAGCCAGGCATAATGGCAGGCGCCTGTAAACCCAGCTACTCGGGAGGCTGAGGTAGGAGGATGGCTTGAACCTGGGAGGTGGAGTTTGCCGAGCTGAGATCGTGCCTCTGCACTCCAGCCTGGGTGACAGAGTGAGATTCCACCTCAAAAAAAAAAATTTGCCTGGTGTGGCGTGCACACCTGTAATCCCAGCTACTTGGGAGGCTGAGGCACAAGAATCGCTTGAACCCAAGAGGTGGAGGTTGCAGTGAGCTGAGATCATGCCACTGCACTCCAGCCTGGGTGACAGAGTGAAACTCCATTTCAGAAAAAAATAAAATAAAATAATAATAAGTACTGGTTTTCCTTTTGGTGTGAAGAAAATGTCCTAGAACTGGACAGAGGTGGTGGTTGTGTGACATGCGAGTATACTAAATGCCACCTCCAAATTGTTCACTTTAAAAGGTTCAAATGGTAAATTGTAGATTATGTATATTTTACCACGTTTTTTTAAAAAGGCTCCCTTGCTGTGCCAGGTGGTGAGAGGGTGGGTGTGGGTGTGACCTGGGGCAGGTGACTTGGCATGATGCTGGGATCTGCCTGTCACCCGCGTCACAGAGAAATGGCCGAGTGTGCACCCCCGTCGGGCTTCCACTGAACTCCAGATACCCAAAGCCACTGGGGAGGAAAGGACTTAACCAGAAGGCCCGTAACAACAGGGAAACTGGATATGACTTACTGTCAAATGAAAAAGGAATGGAGAATTGTGTGTGGGCTGAGATTCCAGCCACTCTGGCCAAATTAGCAATGGTCTTAGTAAGGAGATGAAAGGAGGCCTGGAAGGGGAAGCAGCCGATGTACGAGGGTGGGGGCAGGGGAGGTGTGACAGCTCCTCCCTGGATGCCTTGTCATGTTTGTAATGAAACCCCAAGTCAAGTGGGGAGGTGCGGGGTCCGTGGGTTCGGCTATTGGGAAGGCGAACAATGAACAGGTGGCCGCTGGTTTCCGCCTCCAGAGGGAAACTGTACAGAACGTGAGCAGGGGCCGCCCGCGAGTGCTGAAAATAGCACCCTCCGCAGGCTGCTGGCACCCGGGGAGGGGGAGAATTCGGGCTCCTTCAGGATAGAGAGTGGGTGTCGGCAGTGGCTGCCAAGAATTCATTAGCAGCATCTCTGCCTCCTCCAGACAGAGCCGGTTGGAGAGGAGAGCATCTCCGACGCAGAGAAGGTGGCTATGGAGCTCAAGGACCCCAACCGCCCCCGGTTCACCCTGCAGGAGCTGCGGGATGTGCTGCACGAGAGGAACGAGCTCAAGTCCAAGCTGTTCTTGCTGCAGGAGGAGCTGGCTTACTACAAGAGGCAAGTGTCCCTGGGGCTGGACGGCCCAAGCTGGCTCCTGACTGAGGTTAGCCAGAGTTTCTGTACGGTTACCTTCTTACCCCCTGGAAGATAAGCATTTCATCAGTGTCTTTTTTGGGTACCCTCTCTGGCCTAAAGAACTTACATACAAGCTCACGACCCCTTTCTGAAACTCTTGGGCCCAGGCCAGGCACCGGGGCTCACACCTTTAATATCAGTATTTTGAGAGGCCGAGGCGGAAAGATTGCTTGAGCTGGCCGGGCGCGGTGGCTCAAGCCTGTAATCCCAGCACTTTGGGAGGCCGAGACGGGAGGATCACGAGGTCAGGAGATCGAGCCCTTCCTAACATGGTGAAATCCCGTCTTTATTATAAATACAAAATATTCACTTAGCTTGGTTGCGGGCGCCTGTAGTCCCAGCTACACGGGAGGCTGAGGCAGGAGAATGGCGTAAACCCGGGAGGCGGAGCTTGCAGTGAGCTGAGATCCGGCCACTGCACTCCAGCCCGGGCGACAGAGCGAGACTCCGTCTCAAAAAAAAAAAAAAAAAAAAAAAGATTGCTTGACCCCACCAGGTATTCGAGACGAGCCTGGGCAACAAAGCGAGACCTCATCTCTTTTTTAGATGAATGAATGAATGAAACCCGGCCCCGGTGTGACTGTCTTTGTGACCCTTTTCACCTCCTGCATTATCCTGTTCACTCTCATGCTTGCTTTATTGTTGGTTTCCACATGAGACCACAAGCAACATGAGACCAGAAGTCTTATTTATTTTGTCCATGGCTAAGTTCCCAGTACTTAGAATGGAGCTTGGTACATAGTAGGTGCACAACAAATATCTGTTGAATAGAAAGCTGAAAGGAAGGACCCATGCACCAGAGGTGGTCCCTGCTCCAGTGGGGAAGATCAGAGATGCATAAAAAATACAATACCACACATTTTTATTGAAAGGTTTACTGACTGTACACTGGATGTTCAAAGATGGGAGAGGCTGGGCGTGGTGGCTCACGCCTGTCATCCCAGCACTTTGCAAGGCCGAGGCAGGTGGATCACTTGAACCCAGGAGCTCAAAACCAGCCTGGGCAACATAGTGGGACCCCCATCTGTACACAAAAATTTTGAAAAATTAGCCAGGTGTGGTGGCTCACCCTGTAGTCCCAGCCACTTGGGAGGCTGAAGCAGGAGGATCATTTCAGTCCAGGGTCAAAGCTGCAGTGAGCTATGTTTGTACCACTGCACTCCAGCCTGGGCAACAGAATGAGACCCTGTCTCAAAAAAAAAAAAGATGGGAGAGTGGGAGAGATCTGGTTTGTAGATGGGGTGGAAATCGGAAGGCCTCCTGGAGGAGGCAGCATTTGAACTGGGCCTTCCTGGAGGGATAGGGTAGTATTTAGATACGGGAGATGTTGAGGGGTGACGGGTATATTCTGGGTAGAAGAAACCACAGAGGGGTAGAGACAGGGGAGCCTGTGTAAAGACAGGAACCGGGGAGTGGTTCTATTTGGCTGGACTCTTCAGAATAAACTGGAAATACAGATGCGGGTCCCCTAAAAAACGTGCACCCCACCCTCTCAGACCATCAGACAGTTCTCTTTTGGAATGTTCCAGTTCTCAAGGAACTTTTGACTCTTTTTATCTCATGCCTCTCATCTCCTTCCAGTGAAGAAATGGAAGAGGAAAATCGAATACCCCAACCCCCACCCATCGCCCACCCGAGGACGTCCCCCCAGCCAGAGTCGGGCATCAAGCGACTGTAAGTGACGTGCTGCTGGCTTCTGCGCTCGGCTGACCTGGCGGTTCACGTGTCCTTTGACTTTTCCTCCTTGGCACCTGCTCCCAGGGCCAGGCTTGTCACTAACCACATCCTGCTGAGACGTCTGGCCTGGCCTCCGACTTTGAGTTCATCTCCCTTCCCGAATGCTGAGTTCCTCCTGGGGGTCTCTGGGCAGAGAGGTTTGGGGAGGGCGGGAGGTGAGAGGAGAGAGGCTTGGGCCAGTGGCTGATACTCAGGAGCTTGCTTGAGTGTGTTTCGGGGGGTGGGGTGCATCTCTGGGCCTTTGAGGACAGGAAATAAGGGTAGGGAGGTAGAGGGTGGTTTGTGCATCTTAAGCTTGAGACCTCAGCTCTTGAGATGTTGAGTGGCCCTGGGTCCACCCAGTCTATGCAGTTCTCTGATGACTCATCTATGTAGCCCTCTGTCCAATAAGCATGGGTTACTGCATAATGCATGCAGAGTCAGGCCTTCAGGAGAACCCCCCAAAAGAGAGTGACCTCCTCCCTGCCCTCAACTAGACTTTAAGCTACTTCAGTGGTTCTTGGCATCAACTGATTCCTTTGAGGTTCTGATAAAACCTCCTGAAATTTCCCCCAGAGAAATCTGTAAAATTTGTGTCAATTTCAGGAGGTTCATGGACCCCCAAAGCTCTTCAGATACAGGGTTAACACCTCTGGTCTCGTTAGACAGTATCTACTAAGAAGCTAACACGCGCTGGGTCCTGTTCCCACAGAATATCTCCCTGAGCCCTCCGCATGCTGTTGTGGGGTGGAGGCATCATCATTTTATAGTTAAGGAAATGGAGGCGCCGGCCTAGGGTCATTCAGCTAAGAAGAGGCAGAGCCAGGGCTCAAACTCAGGTGGCCTGGCCCCAGAGCCCACGCTGTGAGCTCTTTGCAAGACAGCCTTGTGCCCGCGGTGTTGGAGCTGCCTTCTCTCCCCTGAGAGGGTCTTCCAGGCTCTGGGCCTGCCTTCCAGTTCTTCTATCCAAGGCTTGGTACAGAAGAGGCTTCAGTTCTTTCCTCCAAAACCCAGAAGAAACTTTGTGAAAACAGGGCGTGTGGGTTGGAAAGCCAGATGGATTGTGTAGGGAGAAGCAGCGGAGTGTTACCCATATGCCCCAACCTTTAAAATCCAGTTATGTTTGGAAATTTTTGGTTAGTTCTTGCCCTGTGAGTTGACAATGCAGAACCGTGCAGGTTTGTCACTGCTGGGCCCTCTCCTCTCAGAAATTGGTGCCCTTGGGGCTGGGTGCAGTGGCTCACACCTGTAATCTCAGCACTTTGGGAGGCAGAGGTGGGAGGATCACTTGAGTTCAGGAGTTCAAGACCAACCTGGGCAACACGGTGAAACCACCTCTCTACAAGAAGTACAAAAATTAGCTGGGTATGGTGGCATGCACTTGTGGTCGCAGCTACTCAGGAGACTGAAGTGGGAGGATTGCTTGATCCCAGGAGGTCGAGGCTTCAGTGAGCCAAGATTGTACTACTGCACTCCAACTAGGGTGACAGAGTGAAACCCTGTCACAAAAAAAAAAAAAAAAAAAGGATAAGAAAAGAGAGAGTGATAAAAAAGAAAGAAAGAAAATGATGCCTTGCCCTTGGGCATGGCAGCTCACATCTGTAATCCCAGCACTCTGAGAGGCCAAGGCAGGAGGATCACTTGAGGCCAGGAGTTTGAGACCAACCTGGGCCACATAGTGAGACCCTGTCTCTACAAAAAAATTTTAAATTGGCCCAATATTCCTAGAGAGTACAGGCTGGTGCATGACTCCCTTCCAGCTTCATTCAGGCTGCTTAGGAGTTTGGCCCCAGGTCCCTGATGCGTTGGGGAGGGAGTGTGGCTGCAGTTCTGGTTAGAGATAAACATTTCCTAGGGAACAAGCATGACGCCAGAAAAGCTTCCTCTAGATCCCAACACAATTTAGCTCATGGATTCAGTAGTAACCTTCCATTTGCAATTGAAACTCAACTCAAAGTAACCTAAGAAAACGAATTTAGAGACCAGGCGCAGTGGCTCACGCCTGTAATCCCAGTCCTTTGGGAGGCCTAGGTGGGTGGATCACGAAGTCAGGAGTTCAAGACCAACCTGACCAACATGGTGAAACCCCATTTCTACTAAAACTACAAAAATTAGCTGGGCGTGGTTGGGCATGGTGGTGCGTGCCTGTAGTCCCAGCTACTCAGGAGGCTGAGGCAGGAAAATTGCTTGAACCCGGGAGGCGGAGGTTGCAGTGAGCTGAGATTGTGCCATTGTACTCCAGCCTGAGCGACAGAGCGAGACTCCGTCTCAAAAACAGAAAACAAAACAAATTTGGGGCCAGGCTCGGTGGCTCACGCCTGTAATCTCAGCAATTTGGGAGGCCAAGGCGAGTGGATCAACTGAGGTCGGGAGTTCAAGACCAGCCTGACCAATATGGAGAAACCCCATCTCCACTAAAAATACAAAAATTAGCCAGGCACGGTGGCATGTGCCTGTAATCCCAGCTACTTGGGAGGCTGAGGCAGGAGAATCACTGGAACCTGGGAGACGGAGGTTGCAGTGAGCCAAGATCGTGCCACTGCACTCCAGCTTGGGCAACAAGAGTGAAACTCCGTCTCAAAAAAAAAAGAAAAAAGAAAAAAAAGAAAAACAAATTTGGCTAAGGAACTAAAAGTTCCAACTTGCCACAGCATGGGGCTCAGCTGGATCCAGGCCTTGTTTCCTCCACCCCTGACTTGGTTTTCCTCTGTGGGCACCATTCTTGGGTGTCCTTTCCAGCCTGAGGATGGCAGCATGGCAGCCCTTGGCTCAAGTTTCTTTTTTTTTTTTTTTTTTTTGAGACGGAGTCTCACTCTATTGCTGAGGCTGGAGTGCAGTGGCACAATCTCAGCTCACTGCAGCCTCTGTCTCCCGGGTTCAAGCAGTTCTCTTCTGCCTCGGCCTCCCGAGTAGCTGGGATTACAGGCATCTGCCTCTACGTCCGGCTAATTTTTGTAATTTTAGTAGAGACGGGGTTTCTGCATGTTGGCCAGGCTGGTCTCTCGAACTCCTGACCTCAGGTGATCCACCCGCCTCGGCCTCCCTGAGTGCTGGGATTACAGGAACGAGCCACCGCACCCAGCCAGGCTTCATTTTCTTCCGTCTGAAACTTCAGTGCAGATTCTCTGTTTCCAAGAGTTCCATCAGTCACAGAAATGAGTCCCATTGGCTCCAGCTGGGTCACATGACTGTCCCTAACCCAATCACAGGACAGCACGTTGATTGTCCAGGTCTGTGACTCCTTCTCACCCCTGAGGCTCAGAGCACTTTTCCTCCATCCAGTTCATGTGGCCTGAAAGTAGGGGAAGGGACAGGTCCCCAAGTAAGATCAGAGTGCTAGATAGACACTCCTTGGGCGGAGGTAGCCTCACCTTGGGAGGAGGAAGCCCCTTCAGTCTTGGTTCTGTGCAGTACTTAGTGCCAGGAAAAGTTTCTCATCCAGTGCTTGTTAGGAAATGGGACTGGCTTTGCTTAAACTCTGACTCACTCGCCAGCCCCACTCCTATGTGAGAAAGAGCAGAATCTATCTTGTAGGCTTTGATAGCTACAACTTTGAGTTTCAGGCCTGGAGAAACTGCAGGAAGCTTCATGAGCCCAGATAGTCTCTGCATGAGCCCAGATAGTCTCTGCATGGGCTGAGGGAGGGGAGACCAAGACACTTCTGTTCTGCATCGTTCAGCCATTTGTTCCCAGGTCGTTAAGAATTAGCCTTTCAGGTCAGGCCCGGTGGCTCACACCTGTAATCCCAGCACTGTGGGAGGCTGAGGCAGGTGGATCACAAGGTCAGGAGTTTGAGACCAGTGTGGCCAACATGGTGAAACCCCCATCTCTACTAAAAGTACAAAAAAATTAGCCAGGTGTGGTGGCGGGTGCCTGTAATCCCAGCTACTCAGGAGACTGAGGCAGGAAAATTGCTTGAACTCCAGAGGAGGAGGTTGCAGTGAGCCGAGATCACACCACTGCATTCGAGCCTGGACAACAGAGCGAGACCCCATCTCAAAAAAAAAAAAGACTCAGCCTTTCTAGCACCTTCACTTTCACTTCCAATGTGCAGGATTCAGAGCCTCCAGCACCCACGGTCAGATGTAATTCTAAAAATTCCTTCCAGAGCCGAGTTTTTCTAACTGTAATTTTCTACTCTGGGCCTCTTTCTCTAAACAGACAATTCAATTGGCTTTGCAAATTTTGTATTGGGTGAAATCCAGAGGAAAGTCATCAGAATTAGCCAGCGAATCTTTCCACTAGTTCTTCTGCCCACAACTGAATAGGCTGTGGTGTCTGTCCTTCTTTTCCAGATTGTTCCAGAAAGGACCCTGGGGCCCTGTTTTCAGAACTCTTCCCCACTTAGGTTGGCTTCTGGTTGCTCAGGAAAATGTGGGGCTCTGAGCCTGGCATGGACAGCAGCTGGAATCAGGGAGCCCGAGAGAAAGACAAGAGAATGAGACCAGAACCTCCCAGCCACAGGGTGCGGGTGACCAGTCCCGTGGCAGCCCCACTTGCTGGGGGATAACTGGGAGAGCGATCTGGCACAAAGGGCTTTTGACCAGTGCAGGCCGGACACTGGTCGCCTTTGTCCACCTCTACTGCTGACTGGAAGCTATACCAGTGTGGCCTGTGAGCCCAGAGGCTGGGAGGAGCCTGGGCAGGGACAGATCTTCCCTGGGCTGGGGCAGGGAATGACAGTTTCCGAGGCGGTTCTGAGCATCCTCCCATCCTTCATTCCTCCTGCACCCACCTGGTCTGCCGGGTCTCTTCCGCCCTTCCTCCAGGGAGTACGAGCCATGCGGTCGCTCAGGGCGGCTCTTCAGCTCTGCTCCACACTGTTAACTTACGTATCCCACCCCTCCTCCTGCAGCAATTCATAGCAGCCAAGGAGGGTTCAGGGGCCTCGGCAGCTTACAGCACTTGAACTAAGGTATCTTCCATCCTGTTGGGGACCCAGAGCTGGGATAATTATC